ATTTATTCATGAATATCTTCACTTTCCCCTCATTTTAGACATCAAAACCAGAATACCTCAAGTCACTATTATAGCCATGCATAGTTATGTATAGTTACATATAGAAATCTCTCAGCATAGAAGAGATTTCTGTCCAAGGGAATGTGAGCAGAGGTGCAATGCTTTGTTTCCAGGCTTTGTCCATGAAAACTTCCTCAACATGAGAGTTGCTCCTTGTGATCTATAGCAGCAGAATTGAGGAAACCGAGAGGATGATGAAGCCACAAGATGCCACGTGGAACACTTCTTGACCACCTGCTCACACTGAACTTTGAAGGGTGGAGAAAATAAACTTTTGCACCAAGACACTGACATTGGGCGTTTGTTATAACACCTTCATGTATTCATATGCTCTCTCTCTCACTTTTGCAAATTTCATACAATATATTTTGATTGTATTTATATCCCCTCCCCTATATGCACCTCTTTACTATCCCCTCACAATTTCATTCATATATATTTGAATATAGAGTCAAATTTATGTCCCCAAATGCTTTTGATGTGAATTCATCCACTAGAGCCTGCTCAATCTATAAACAGTCTCACTCTTAAATGAGACTCTCTTCCTCCCAGCAGCCATCAGTTGCCAATACTTCCTCAGGTCAGGTTGGGATTTCTAACCCACCCCCCAAGTCTATGCTGGGATTTTTGTCTTGTTTGAGCTTATGTGGGACCTGTGGATGCTGTCACCATTGATGTGAGTTCATATGAGTAACTGCCCAGTTCTCTGGAAAATTCTGTTTCCTTATGGTCATCTACCATCTCCGGTTCTTCCCCTTCTCCTGCCACGATCCCTGAGCCTTGGGAGGCAGAAGTTTGATAGAGGCCCTATTCAGGGATAAGCACTCTGCAGTTTCTAATTCTCTACATGTTGGCCAGATGTGGTTTTCTGTGTTAATCACTGTCTGCTGTATAAGAAAATTTTTCTGTATTAGGAATCAGTTTAATACTACATCTATTTAGCAGAATAATAGTATTAGGCTCTCCTCCATGACCTATGGCCTGTCTCGCCTCAGGCTCATAAGCCTAATATCAACGTCAGGTATGGGCTCTACCCTAGAAGCAGAACTTAAATCCAATTAGAAAGTGATTGGTTATTCCCATAAGACTTGTGCCACTATTGCACTATTTGCACTAAGGCATATTTTTTCAGGCCAGTTGTTGCTGTGGCTTGCAGGATTCACAGTTAGGTAAGACTGATGATCGATTTTCTCTTCAGGTAGTACCTTTCAGCACTATGAAAGCTAGCTGGTAGAGATGAGGCTTTGAAGTCAGCACTAGCTTGACTTTTTCTCACTGCTTGACAGCTCCTAGAAAGCCTTTCTCTCCACTCTATGGCGAGTTATTAGTTTCCCGACCTCTATGGATTTTCAAATGGAAACATGTATATCCAAGATTTCAAAACTAGCATCCAGTTATGAGAGAGAACATGTGACATTTGCCTTTCTGGGTCTGGGTTACTTAACTCAGGATGATTATTTCCAGTTCTACCCATTTACCTGTGAATTTCATAATTTTGTTTTTGAAGAGTTGAATAATATTCCATTATATAAAATTGCCATACTTCCATTATCCATCCGTCAGTTGATAGACATCTAGGTTGCTTCCATTTCCTGGTTATTATGAAAAGGGCAGCATTGACTATAGATGAACAGGTTTCTTTAGAGGGTATTTCTCTAGTAGCGTCTTTTGGGTATATGTTCAAGACTGGTCTGGCTGGATCATACAGTAGATTAATTTCTAGTTTTTTTGAGGTATCTCTCCACTGATTTCCATAGAGGACATACCAGTTTGCACCCTCACTAGCAGTAGATAAGAGTTCCCCTTTCCTCACAGCCTCACTAGTATTTGTCATTGTTTTCTTTGGGGTTCTTAACCATTCTGAATGGGGTAAAATGAAATCTCCAAGTGTTTTTAATTTGCATTTCCTGATGACCAAAGATACTGAACATTTAAAAAAAATATTTTTCATCCGTATGTGTTTCATCTCTACAGAATTCCCTCTTCAGCTGCTTGCCCTAGTTTTTAATTTTTTATGTTTTTTTTCTTAAGTTTTTTGCATATTCTAGATACTATCCCTCTGTCTTAGGTATAGCTGATAATTTTTTCCTATTCTGTAGATTGCTTCTTCATTTGAGTGGGAGTTCTCTTTGTTATATAGAAGCTTTTTAGTGTCCCATTTTTCAATTGTTGGGCTTAATGCTTGCACTACAGGAGTCCCATTCAGAAAGTCCTTTCTTGTGCCTATAAGAACCAGTGTATTCCCTGCTTTCTCCTCCTCCTCCTCCTCCTCTCTCTCTCTCTCTCCATCTCTCCCTCTCTCCCTCTTTCCCTCTCTCTTTTCTTTTGAGATAGGATCTCTCTACATAGCCTTGACTAAACCTTGAACTCACTGGGTAGACCAGACTGGCCTCAAGCCCACAGAGACCCACCCACCTGCCTCTGCCTCCTGAATTCTTGGATTAAAGCCATGTACCACAGTGAATGGCTCCTACTCTCTTTCTTGCAGGATGGATGAGTTCTGAAGTGAGGCACCCTGATTTCCTACCTCTGGTCATATGAAGCTCTTTTTAACATAAAACACCCAGCGTGCATCGAATACTTATGAGTCTAAGTTTTCCTCGCTGTGGAGCTGAATGTCTGTGTTCTGTGGTTTAATTGTCTATTTAGGCTTTCATATTCTACATTAAAGCTCATCTGCCTGGCTGGGCATGACCTGCAATCTATTTCAGCCTCAGGATGAAACTAAATTATAATAAACCTTTTTCTGATAAAAATCTCATTGCATGTGAAGAACAATCTCATTCCAAGAAAAAAATTTAAATAACTAGGGAATAGCAATAGTAAGCATTTACTCCTGAATTTCATCCTTCAGGAATTATGCTAAATTATCATCTACCTATCTATCTATCTATCTATCATCTATCTATCTATCTGGTACCTAACTATATATCATCAATCTATCCATCTATCTATGTACATATATATTATCCTTAATTTTCACAGCAATCCAATAATTGCATTATTCCCCTCAGTAAAAGGTGAAAAGACTGAAGTTCAGAGATATTAGAGAATTTATCCCATATCACACAGAATACACCAAAGTCAGAACTTGAACTCACATTTGTCTGATAATCAAAACCACACTCTATATCATGTTCCTTCCTGATGACAAGAAGAACAAATGCCCAGTGATGAAGATCAGCAGAATGAATGTTCAGTAGTGAGAACTCTGGATTTTTGTCAGCTGAAGATGCTTCACCATAAGATGAGGGAACTTGATTAAGGATGCCTCACTATGCACTAATACCTTTTAATTGTGAGAAATGAGAAGTTCAGAACTACACTGAACAGCTCTAGGGAGGTACAGCCACCATATACAGTGCTTGCAGCAAGGAACCCCCAAATTCCCACCCGAGTAAAGCACCTGGCTCTGTTCTATAAAGTGGGGTCAAGAAGCTGGAACTGGCAGGAATACATGAGGCTATGAGAGGCTTCCTGAAGTAGAGAGAGAAGCAGCCAGCTTACACTTAGAGGCATACATAAAATCTAGATCCAGGCTCATAGAGGGGGTCACTCTAGAGAATCCACTGAGAATTGGGAAGAAAACACTGAACTTCTTTTCAGGTAATAACTTTATTTTAAACTAAGACTAAACTTTTCTGACAGCTGATAACTAGGTTAATGGGCATGCTGTTAGTCCTTCCTTATGTCACACCTGACAACACACATGGTATGCCTGGTTGGGGGGCAGGGGGCAAGAGTCCCTCATACACAGAGTTGAGCCCTTCTATTTCTTATACTTTGTTTTTTTTTTTTTTTTTTTTTTTCAACCTATTTGTTTGCATGGTCTGAATGAGTAGGGTTTGTCTTTTTTTTTTTTTTTGTCTTTTTTTAGACAGGGTCTCCCTGTAGCCCCATTTGTCCTGGAACTCACTAAGTAGACCAGGCTGGCCCCGAACTCACAGAGCTTCGCCTGCCTCTGCCTCCCGAGTGCTGGGATTAAAGGTGTGCGCCACCTCGCCTGGTGAAATTGAGTAGATGTATGTGTTATTTTAACACAACTAATATATTTTTTAAATGACCCACGAGAAAATATTCCTACAAAGAACCTGAATGTTGATAATAGTATCAAGTAAGGCACAGGTGGATAGTGAGAAATACTTCCTGCCCACCAGCCCACACTGGTTCTTCATATTTATTTTGGTCCACTATATCATGAGATCAAAACTATGAAGATTTACTCCAATAACAGGACAAGTGCCTGTTACGCTGTGATTTGTAACTAATGGCTGTACTATGTGGAAGGAGTCCACAGAATAAATGATGGGTGCAGTTCAGTGGTATTATTATTTTGATAATACCTGATATTAAGTTTGATGTAACCTCGTGGTCTTCTTCCTTTTAGGGCACCTTCCATAATCTGGACTGCTGTGTTTGCATCGTCCAGGGGAGCTGCTTGGGGCTGTGAAGTCCCACTTCCCAGCCCCACCATCAGAACCTCCCAAGCTGCACTGCACAACCCTAATTGCCTGCATAAACACAGGCCAAATCAGTTTCAGCTGCCTGGGACTCTGTCTGGCAGATTTTGCTTTTCATCCTACCCTTGCTGTTCTCCATCAAGTACGGTTGGAATGATTTAGTCTTGATTTGGATTCAGAAGCTTCATTCACACTGCTCTGAGCAAAATTTAATCAAAATATTTACCTCAATAATTTGGCTCAACACTTTCCTCAAATTAACTGAGGCAAAGTGTTCAGCCAGGTTACTGCAAAAAGCCCTGGAGCAGGGCAGAGCTGTGAAGAAAGGGGTGCAGTGGGGAGGGGAAAGCCACATGCAGAGGAGACACAGTCAAAAGTGTATACAACATTTATTAGCTAAAGTACCAGGAAAAGCATCCTAATCAGTTGGTTTCCTCTCATTAAATGTTAATTAGTTCATATAAGCTTCCTGTGTAGGAAAGTATCAGGTACTTAGCACACATTAGGAAAGAGACAAGTCACACGGGGAGTCTTAGAAACAACAGACACAGAGCAAGGACACTGTTACATGTCTGGGTGACATTTCTGTTTGAAGGCATATGTGAGCTCCTTGAGGGGGACCCAGAAGATCTGCCAGAAACAAACACAGACTATGATTTTCATTCTACTAACGAGTCTCTGAAACAACGTTTGTTGAGTTTCTAAAAACACACTTAATGAGATTAGCTTCTGAATCAAATGCTATGATTATATTTAGATACATTTGCTCACACTGTTTAAAACCACAGAACAGGATAATCCTATCATGTTAAATGACCTTTTATCTAGATTGCTTTAGTATGCTGGCTTATAAACCACCTTGGGATAAAGTTATGAAAGTAAGGAGAACAAAACTCAAGGGCTTTGTGGACCATAAGTCATCATGTGCCTTTGAATCCTGCTGCAGGAATATAGAGGTTTTGAGCTAGACAGTACTCCAAAGGCAACTTCTTGCCTGACATATAGTCAGCCCATTGGAACATGACTATGTCTTAGCTCATGACAACCCATTATCTGAGGGGTTGGTGCTTAACCCCACAAAGTTACTATTATGAACATCACCCTTAGTAAAGGAACAATTACCCAAACCAATACCCATCTTTCTTTAGATAGAACTTGGGTTTGAGCTGCATTCCACTGTGCCCCTTTGGTGTCCCCACACCACTCTCTTGCCTTGAAGTTTGCTGGATTTCTATGTATACATTGATGGGGCAACTACCCCTTTTTGACATAGAATGACAAGGGTCATTATGCATATTGAGCCAGTGGTTTGGTAACTGGAGAAGGGCTCTAAATGAATGCTTTTAAAGAAAGACTATCAAATGTTTATCAAGTGCTTACTACATGCAAAACATAGACACTTTATAGTCATGTTTTATCTTTACAATAGCCCTATTAAGCAGTCATTATCATTAGTTCCACTTAACAGATGAAATAACTAAGGTATAAATGGGTTGAGTAACTTACCTAGGGTCCTACTTCTCAGATGGCTCCCAATGCTCTCCTTCCTTTCAATATCCAGGCTGTATGTAATTCACTCCCATTGGGTTTGAACTGGACCTGATGACCCATACCAAACAGAATACAGCAAAAATAATGAGCTATCACTTCCATGATTAGATTACAGAAAGACTAAACATCTATCTTACTAATGTGTGTTATTCTGCTGACTTTGAAGAAGCACATTTCTATGTCAAAAAAACCCATGGGACACAAATCTTAAAGCAGTTTTGTCCTAGTTTGTTTCTTCATTGCTGTGACAAAATATTCTGACCAATACCAACTTGGGGAGGAAAGGGTTTATTCAGCTTTCATCTCCCAGGTCGCAGTTCATCAGGGAGCCCAAGGTAGGAACTCAGGGCAGGAACCTGGAAGCAGGAGCTAGCTGGAGCACAGGTCATGGAGGAATGCTGCTTACTGACTTGCTCCCCTGGCCCCTGCTCAGCCTGCTTTCTTATGCAACACAGGCCCACCTGCCCAGGGGTGGCACCACCCACAGTGGGCTGGGCCCTCCCACATCACTCATCAAGAAAATGCCCCTCAGACATGGCCATAGGCCAGTCCAATAGAGGCAATTCCCCAACTGAGGAAATTCCCCAATTGAGGCTCCCTCAATCCAGGTGTGTCAAGTTGACTCTAAAGCTATCCAGCACAAGTTTCTAGTCAATAGCTAGCCAAGAATTTGGCTCAATTCAAAAGAACCTTCCCAACAATCATATGTGGCTCCTTCCCCAGCTGAAGCAGCAGATGAGCACACAGACCCTGGGCCAAGGCCTTCATTGCAGGCTCCTGAGACATAGAAGAGCAGAGGACACAGCTAAGTCATGTGGAAACTTCTGACTCACCAACACTGTGCCATAATAAATAGTGTTGCTTTAAGCACTTAGATTTGGAGTAGTTTTGTTATGAAGCAAAATATAACTGATACTATTATATAACTGTTTTCTCTAAATTGAAACATTCCATTATGGAGGAAGAAGGAAGGCTCAGGAGGCCTCAAAAAACTCACAAGAAACTTAAACTCATGAAAACCTTACAAGATTCATAAGGCCCATAAACAGTAAACAGCTGTTGGGGAAGGAGGAGACTCTTTGGTGGAGCTGCCTGAAAACTGAACAGGGAATTCCAGTTATGTGCCTTTCATGAGTCTTCACCCATTCTTGGGGTGCAGCTATTTTTTGGTAATGCAGCTGCCTGAATAACCCACGCTCCTGTAAGTAACCCAAATAAACCCATTGGTTCACAAAAATGTACTCTAATGGAATCATTTCATTGTTATGTTGTTGCCTTATTTGAAGTGCATAGGCATTTCTGTGTGTCTTGCCAGGAAAAGTCATCCCAGCCCTTCAGTTATTTAAGCCCCAAACCATACATCTGGTAAGTGGCAGAGACAGGAGTCAAACCCAAGTGTGCTTTCTGAATCTATGGCATCTATAGTTACACTAACATTGTATGGATTCTTAAAAAGTATACCATAATATGTACTTTCATCACTATAATACAACCATCATCCTCATTATTACAATCATCATTATTATCGTGACTAAGATGTGCTAAGTACTTTACATAAATGACCTCATCTGATCCTCAAAGCTGACTCTACTATTGCAGTTTTATACTTATTAAAAAAAAAAACAATTTGGGAATTAGGACACTGAACTCATCCAGGATGATAATGAAAATTCAAATTTTGATCCATTGACTGAAAAGCCCATTTCCTTTCCTCCAACTGCTGATCTTTGCAACACTGAAAAAAAACCTTAAAATAATGTATTAATAAATCTCTGAGAACAAAGTCTACCTGGGAGTGACTTTCTTGCCTGAACCATAGTTGATTTCTTGGAGTTTCAGGATGTGGAAAGCAGAAGAGAATACTTTTTCATATCACATATAACACTTCTTATTAGCAGATGCAACAAAACTGAGTGGAAGTAGCACCAATTATATGATACCAAGTTTCTTCCAAAAACTGAAAGTCATAAAATCTGATCTAATATAATAAGTTGTATTTCATATGAAATCTTGAATAATTCCCTGTTACATATTAGATGAGAGTGCTCACACGCCTTGGCAGAGCCTCAAGGTCTGGCTGACTTAGTCCAGGCTCACTTTTGGCTAAATTTTCTGTACAGTCACCACCCATGAACGTCAAGACTGATCATGTCTTATTAGAGCATTGAACTGCAGCCCTGGTTTCTCCTTCTAAATTGAGCACATTGCTTAACATAAACTCAGGATAAAACTTTTTGTGAGAAAAGAAAGTGAGGATAGGAGAAGGAGAACTTTAAAAAATAAAAAGAAAGGAAGGAAAGAAGGGAAGGAAAAGGCAGGGTTTTCTCTTTGTACTCTAACAGAATCCTCAGATTCACTAACATATACTGATTGGTAGCACATAATCATTACGTACACTGATATGCCTGGATTTATAACAAAGTTCCCTGTGCAAATTAAGCAGAAAGAAAACAGGATGTTGGGGATGTAGCACATAAGTTGTCTATTCTCTCTTTTTTACTTTTCTTCCATGGTCCTATGAGCTCTTCCAATTTTGTCCTCATGGCTTTTGAGTTTTTAAACCACAAGTAAACAGAAAGTACTATATGTACATTTTAGGGTAACTAATGATTCTGCTAGATTTGGTATGTTTCTCTTGGTGGAAATAATAGAATAATTTAATGCAATGTTTTCTAATGACCCCAATTATGTTTGTTAGAATAGTTGCAGGATTAACTGGGAAGATACAGTATACACAAAAGTATCCAATTAATGAATGTACCAATAAGCATCATCTTTAAAAAGTACCTGAGTTCACATTACAGATACATTGACATAGTCATATACACTAGCTGTCATTTCATTGACTGTCTCTTGGGAAGTTGTTCTGTTTCTATATTGAGTCTCTGACCTGCTTTTTTGGTAAGCTGGCCCCATGTTCATCGTCTTGACAGAGTCCTTCAGCCTTCAGCTATCAGCCTACATTTTCAATGAGCTCACACCCTCTTGACCTGATTGCAATAGACTCAATGAGAAAAAAAGGAAAATGACCTCAGTGGTGTCTATTTGGCTCAGCAGGTTTGAGGCAGTTGGAAAAGGAAGAATAGGACTGCTGGTCATAATTTCAAGGTGAAACCTGGGAAAAACAGTATGAAACTCGTGACTTTCTCATGCCTCAGATTCCAAAGTCGGGAAGAAATAGTTAAACTGTGACTCTGTACTTCTCAGTGTATGCTTGTACTTTTCATTTTCTTTCTAATTTTCCCAAGATGAATCATTTAAAACAAAGCACCTAGAATTATATGACATTAAAGGACACAAAGAGTGCTGTCAACCATTTTGTGCTTCCTTCTCTTTTCAAAACAAAGAGAAATACTCTGCCCTTTAGGCACAAGTATTATTTAGACACATGCTTAGAAACTTCTTTGGATAGGAAGCTTTATAAAACAGATTGTCCTTCAATCCAGGGATGCCCTGGAGACCAGTGAGGTGTTTACCCCCTTCACTAAATGGTCCCAGACAACTCTACTTTCCGAGTTCTTAGATCTGTTTTCTATTACTGTCTGCCATCTCTCTGCTGCCAGTGTATTGTTCCTACTTCATTTTCCATAAATTTTGACCCCCCAAACATTTCCCCTAAAAAATCAATTTTTGTTTTTGGAGTCAGAAATAACTGGGCCCTTAGCCATCACCGCTCATTTTCTGACTCAGGAGTTTAAAGCTGAAAAACTGTGAGATTCTTTCAGAAGCACTCTGGGGAACTGGAGAAGCACAGTTCTATCAGATACAAAGATGGTTGCTCCAGGAATAAAACCCTAAATATACAATATTTATAATGATGTAATAATTACAGTCTATATTTAGCATTTTTAGTTTGGAAATTGATTTCTGTTTTACTCAAAATCCTGGAAACAGCCTGTTCATCAGAGTCCTGCAGTTATATTTGATGAATTTTATTGGATTTCCTTTTCTTAATGAATCATGAGAACTGAGTTAAATATTAAGTATCAGTGTTTATGTAAGGGACATGCATGTTTGCTTTTTTCAATTAAGGAAAGGCTGGTTGACCTCTGTGCCACTGAGCCTTGTCCTTGCAGATGGCCGGGCTTTCCATTTACCAAGCCGTTCTGGTAAAACATGTACAGTATTGTACAATGGAGAAAGCAACTGACATTGGGTGTATTGCAGAGGGATCTCATGTCTCAGAAAGTGGAAACCTAGGAGCTGGCTTGTCATGAAGCTCGTTTGCTTTTTTCAATTAAGGAAAGGCTGGTGTGCCAGCCTCCATTGTACAATGGAGAAAGCAACTGACATTGGGTGTATTGCAGAAGGATCTCATGTCTCAGAAAGTGGAAACCTAGGAGCTGGCTTGTCATGAAGCTGGGGATGCTTCTGCCACTGCACACATATATGTATGAAGAGTCTGGAGATGAAAAATGTTATCTCCTAAATTCAAAGTTAAGAGCAACTTAGTTCAAGTTTAAGAACCCAGCTAAAGGCTGAAGAGATGACTCAGCAATTAGGAGAACTTGCTGGTTCTTTCGGAGGAATGGAGTTTCGTTCCCAGCACACACACAAAGGCTCACAATTGCTTTTAACTTCAGCTCCAGAGGCTCCAATGTCTTCTTCTGGCCTCCAAAGGAACCCGCCTTCACGTATATCTCCCCCCACCACCGCACAGACACAGACACACCCATGTGTAAATGAAAATAATAAAAATAAAAAAGTCCAGCTACACATAGGCTCATCAGAAAATTTTTTTAAATATATGTAATTCTAGTACTACTGAATCAACCTCCAAGATTTAGAACCTCAGGAATTCACAGGTTTCAAATCTTCTCCTAGCTCCACATTCTTACATCCACTCCTATGATTCAACATGAGAATCATTGCTTCCAAGGCTCTTAGTCCAGCTCCTTATCACACATGTGGCTTTCCTTTCTAATATTTCTCAAAAGTGGACTTTCATCGTCTGCTTGAACATCTGTAGAAATGAAGAGCTCACTGTCTCATGTAGTAATTTGTACCATTGTGGGTCAGCCATGTGAAAGTTCTTCCCCGTATAAAGG